CCCCCCCCCCCCCTCTCTTTGTCGAATTTTTGGTGACAGTCCGACGAGGCCTCCTTTTGTATTTTCATGAATATGCGGGACCCTCGGATCAGTTTTTGAAAATTTGTCTTTTGCAAATTCGGGAATTACATGGGAATTGTGCGCACCTTAGCGAACGCGCCAGGAATTTGGGTCGACTGTTAGAAATTCCGAAATGAGCGGAATCTGACGTGTCCTTTCTTGCGCTTAAAAATGTTCTTAACTTCGTTTTGGGAAGCTCTGGGAATTTTCGTAGGAATCTGAATAGGTATAGGATTTTCTCCCGCGCTCGCTCTACCGTATGGATATGGTACTTTTCAATTTGAATTAGTTGTAATTGTTTCGGTGCCCTTTTTGCCTCCGCGTCGGCGCCATGCATGCGAGTCTCCCCTCACCGCTTCCCCCGCTGCCTTCGAGGCTTTGGCACTCTCTTCTTTGCGCTCACGCTCCTCTCTCTGTAACCGTTTTCCATCTCTCCTTGGACCTTGCGCGTTTTTCCCTCCTTATTGATTGTCTGAATTTTGGTTCCGTTTCACGCTTCTTCGCACTCTTCTTCTTCCCGCTCTGATCCCCGTGCGGAAATACCTTGTCGATACCCTTTCACTCCCCCTAGCCAAGGAGACACGCCGTGTAAGAAGGAAATTCTTGATACACGACGATTCTGATTGGCTACAGCTGGAATCCAAAGGATCGACATGACTTTCGCCGGACAATCCTTGAACCTTTTCCCACTCCTTCTTGTCTCAGTCCTAAACCTTCCTAGCATCTATCTTCCTTTCCGTAGCTATAAATTTCGCAAACGCTCCCGAAAATCTCTCTCTCGACTCATCAGCCCGCTTTCGAGAAGTTGTGGCTAGGTGGTAAGAAGGAAAATGCAAGTTGAAAAGTCCCGACGAGCTAGCTGTAGTTTAGCGCTCGGCATGCTAGATCGCCCGACGGACTGTGGGATCCGAGCAGGGTCGTGCAAAGACTAAGTCGGCGGGGTGACGATCACGATGGTGGGTTGGCAAGTGACGACCAGGATCATCAGTGCAAGTGAGACGTTCGGGTCGGAAGTGACTCGTGAGTGAGTGTATGGCCTGGGGCTATGGTGGAATTTTATGACAGAAGTGTTTCCCTTTTTTTTTCCCAAAATTTGTATCTTCGAGTGTGAATTCCGATCGCTCAGCTTTTAAGCCGGAACTCCCGTGGACAAGATTGCCTGATATTCTGTGATTGCTTTCTACTCGTTCTTCCCTCCTAGTCTGCGTCCGTACACTCTCTCTCTTTCTCCTCCGGTGATGTTATATCGTAATGGATGAATTATGGTAACCGCGATTCTCTCACTTCGGTATGTGCATGCGGTGAGTTGTGTGAGCGAATTTGTTATAGGCTTATAGCATGATGGTAAGGACGATTGGCTCATCGACTGAATGATCGGGTTGCCTGGAGTGTCAGACAAATGATGTATGATTAAGATTTGCTTGGAGCTTACCTTTGCTGCCATATGGACTGACGGCCCCAATCCGACCGGTCGCCAACTTCCTGAGCCCCCGTCGGGCCCCTTCCCGTATAACGAGGAAAGGATACGTGTATGCGAGTGGGACATACGAGAAGCCGCCGCCAAGATCGGAGGGCGTTATTACTTTCCTCCTGAAACTCGATGTTCTGAATTTGTCAATGCGGGTTTTGTTATCATTGAGACGCACTTTCCGCCCTATTCGTTGTTATTGTCCATTAACGAACTGATCGTCGTCCCATGGACGGCAGTGGAGCCTCATTGAGTCATTGGCCCAACACTCTGTGCAGCGATTGCCGTCGCTTCGAGCGTTACCAGGCCAAGGGGTTCCACTATCGTACACGTGGCGAGGACGAGCACAAAGAGAAGGCTACTCGGTTGAGGCCCTCCACGTCGGACTTGGAGTTGTGTAACGAGCTCCGACAAGACCTCATCCGAAAACGGGATACTACGTGTGTACCCGCCCCCTTTCACATGAAACGAAGAGCGACGGCTCGCTGGGAAGTCCAGCGATACTTTTTAGATTGAATTTCCCATAGCTGCAAGTCCCGCGCACACCTTTTTCTTCCTTAAAGCCCGCACGGCGACGTACCTTCTTCTTACCAACACGGGGGATTTCCGTTCTGTCTGTATCCCCGCACTCAATTTTCCAAAAATCCTTGGCACACCCCATCTTTGCTGCCTTTCCCCGGGCCCCCTTCCGCAAGGCAAAACACTCCGACCGGGAAGCAGCGCAGGGCGTGAGGTTAGAGCGTAACAGTGGGGGGGGGGAACTGTCGACCGCCGACTTTCAAGTTTCAATCTTTTTCTGACAGCCTGTGTGGTGAGCGTCTTACTCGCCAAACCTGGCATCCAGAGATTCTGAACCTGTCAGAAAGCTCTCCACTATTCCGCCACAGGCTGTGGCGAGCATTTTGGTTTTCTCCGCCTGTCACATCCCGTTTGTGGAGGGCCGGTCCGAAGGACCCCTCCACAAAATGACTTGCTGGCGAGTCTTCCAGCTTGAGATCTTGTGCGCAACCGTTTTAAACTTTTCTGCTGAAGGTAAGCTGTGGCGAGTAAGTGCAACTAGGATACAGACTCGCCACAATTTCATGCTTCTTCACTCGCCAACCCGTCGCCACAGATTGTGGCGGATGGCGAGTAGTGCAACTAGGCCCTGAGGGCCTCTTTCCACACCACTTGAGTTCAAGAGCGAAGCGAAAAATCATCGTTCCACTCCCCCTTCAGAGGGATCCACTTTGTTTTCACTTTTGTGCGTCCCAAGGGTGCGTCCTTGAAACTCAAGGGCTGCACAGCCAAAATTGCCCTTGAATTCATGTCACCTCCCGGAGGTACCTTGAGGTCAGGTGCCAAGGGATGCCGCCAGCACTCCAGGTGGGGCCTTTTTTTTGTTTTTCTTTTTTTCCAGCAGGCGATCCTGGTCCAGGATTAGTCAGTCCGTGGAATTCGGTGGGTTTCAAATGCAACCTGTTCAAGGGTTTCTTCAAGTGTACATGGAACCATAAATCGATTAAGTGTAAATTAATCACAATTTCTCTTTTAGTGTGCACTTGAAACTCAAGTATTTTCAAGTGGTGTCGAACGAGGCTCTAAGTGGAGCGACGTCCGACTGTCCATTTTTGTATAGTGGGCAGCGGTGGAGCGAGGCCCATGGTTTCCTAGATACCTCCAGTACTCGCATCCGGCAACATTCAGAATGCACATGTGACACGTGCCTGTCCAGATGCATTCAAAATGTTGGGGGATGGAGCACATGTTTCTGTCCAGATGCATTCAAAATGTTGGCGGATGGAGAGAAGTGCAAATAGGCCCTAACAAAAGGACAAAAAAATCCTTCAGTAACCGCGGGCAGCGGACTTTTCTTTGTTTTCTTCTGGTGCCGTCATCTTGTAACTTCTTTCTGAACTTTTTTTTTTTTTTTTTTTTTTTTTTTGGGTCCACCAATTTGGGCAATCGAAGTACTCCGCTGCCTAGATAATGCCGAGGCGGCTGAGTGGAAGGGAAGGGAAGGGGAGGAGATGACTCAGAGATGAGGAGAGGAGTGGAGTGTGCAATGTTCTACACTACTACATCTGTCGCGGAACAGGCAGGACACCAGCAGTAGCACAGTTGATGGGGAAGGCGATGTGCTTATGTGGGCGCCTGTGCGAGGTGGGGGGAAGGAATAGAGGGGAGGGAACGGAAGTCTAGAGTGGCGTGCTGAGCACGAGCTGTCGGCTCTGTTCGCACGATCTCTAACGCTCGCCGGTAAGTCTGCCGCGAGCGGACATTAGTCAGGCAGCACTGCCTGCGATGTTTTACGATCGCCTCTCGGTTATGTCAAGGGGGGAAAGACTCTGAGGTCGTTTGTCCGAGGAGAGGAGATTGGTGTCTTCTCTTGCGACCTGGGCTCCGTTTCCTCCTCGCCCACGACGTACTCTGCCGTCTGGTCGTCGCCATCGCTGTGTTAAGGTGAGAAGCTGAACGAGAAAGCAATCGTGGCTTCTGCGGATTGAAAGGGGGTGGGCAAGCGGAGGCTGTGAAGTTTAATATACTACACACACACACACACACACACACACACACACGCACACACACACAAGAGAAAGCAATCGCGGCTTCTGCAGATTGAGCGGGGTTGGGCAAGAGGAGGCTGTAGTTCAGTCTCCTCAGTGTACTTTAGGGATAAGATAGACACACACACACACACACACACACACACACACACACACACACACACACACACACACACACACACACAAGTGGATGGCAGGACAGAAAAGACGTATTATATAATCTGGTTTGATATCTGAGATTAGATTCGATTGGGTAAGTATAGTTAGGATTAGATTCGATCAGACTATAGAGTGCATAAACAGGATACTAGATTGTCCTCTCAGTGCTTCTTACCGAAATAGAGAGACCATTCGTTCGCCTCCTCAGGGACGCCGCACTGCAAGCGTATTACTTCGTTTTAGATTAGATTAGATTAGATCAGATTTGATTAGATTCGATTGGATTAGGTCCGATAATTCAGGAGTCGAACAGAAACAGAGGGTCGAGATGGGGATCATAATGACCATTCTGGACACTGCTCAGAAGACTAAGGATATGGCGGAGTTCGCCGGCCGACATGTATGCATCACTGCTGAGACCATTTTGCCTGAGCCTTTGAGCGGCCTGCTAACCCGTCTACGACAGATGAGTTACATGCAGTGGTTTTTGCTGGGAATGGGCGGGTTAATGTTTGTAATCACGGCGCCTCCGGTGATGATCTTCACCGGCGTTTCCACTGCTCTCGCCGTCCCTGTGCTTAGCTTCACCTCTCCTATTTGGCTCCCCTTTGTCCTCTTCCTTCTCTTCGTAACCTTCCCGCTCTGGGGTTCTGTCCTTGGCATCCTCGCCATCTTCCGTAACGTCGGTCGGGTCAAAGATAAGCTCCTGTCCGCGTTGACCGACGTGCAGGAGGTATCCCCTCAGCCAATCAAGGGTTTGCTGAGATGGTATCGCAGTCTGAGTTACACGGGTGAGGCGATGGTCGTGATGGGCATAGTGACGGCGGCGCTGCTCGGAGTCGGCGCGGTTCTGCTTGTCGGTACCCCGACCGTCGTGGTCGGAGGTGGGCTGCTGCTCCTCTTCTCGCCTCTCCTCTTGTTGACGTCGCCGCTTTGGATTCCCGTCGTGCTCTTCTTCCTGACCATGGCGGGCGTCGTCCTCGGCGGCGGCGCGCTCGCCGTGGCTATGGCTGTCGTCGGCTACTGGGTGTACCGGTACAACAAAGGGCCGATGCCACTGGGAGGCGGGATGGTGCTCAAGCTTCAGGAGAGGATGAAAAACACCATGCAGAAGACGAAGGAGGTGGCTATGGAGAAAGGGCCGCAGATGCTCGAGGAGGCGAAAGCCAAGGCGGAAAAGGTGACAGGGTAGACCTTCGGATGCATTGGATGATGGGCGCCCTCAGGCTTGCTCGTCTACAATTATGTGTGACAACAATGTGGGCAAACGAATTTAGGAGTTTATCGTATAAGTAGGTACTAGTGGACTATTAGGATATGTGACAAGTGAAGTCGATAGTACTGTGATAGTAGTTACTGAGTGAATTTCCCTTCTCAGATTGTCCGGACCATCCGGGGGAGTCGCGCGGTCAGCATTTGAGAGAAATAATTTGAATTTCGGAGAGTTTATGTGATCTGATCGTCGGACGACGGACATTAACGAACGTGCAATTTGGAGGGTTGACCGATAACGAATTGTCCAATTTGGAGGGTTGACCGATAACGAATTGTCCAATTTGGAGGGCTGACCGATCGACCGATCCACGGGTGAGAATCCTTTAGATGATGTGTGTTTCTCGATAATCGTCTCTTACTGATCTCTGTGCATGAAGAAGATCACGGTGAGCTCCGTTGCACGCATTGTGGACATCTTCGGCTTTGGGAGAAGGGGTTTTTCTTCAACGTTCTTGTGCAACGATCGTCTTTTACGTATTATTTTGTTTGTCGTCGTCTTGTCGAACCGCTTGTCGATCGAGAGGAGGAGGAGAAGGTGGATGCTTGAACGAGTTGCTCAAGCTGCGGGCAAGGTGCATGGACTCCATGGACAGCAGCAATCGAAGGCAGTTGTCGCCGGTCAACCATTACAGAGCGGTTGACGGTCAACGGTCAACGGTCCAGTCAGGGGTGTTTGGGGTGACCAAAAGGTGTTAACGGTCAAAGCTTGTTTGTGGTCAACGAACGGTCAACGGTCGGTGATCTGCCTTGTTTGCCCATATGATGACAAGAGCATGGATGCTTTGAATGAAGTGGTGGGCAAGGTGTGGTCAACGTGCCTTGAGAGCACTAAATCAAAAATGGAATCGGAGGCCGCGGTCAACGATGGATGGGCGGTTAGGTCAAAAATTGTTGATGGTCGAAGGTCAACGGTCAAAGGTCGGCGCTCCGCCTGTTTACCCATGAGAATAGCGTGGATGCTTGAATGAATTGTTGTTGGGGAAGGTGCGGTCAAGGTAGGTGCCTCGAGATCATCAATCAATCAATCAATCATAATGACCTTTAGAGGTCAACGATTGACGGTTGGTCAGCGATTTCTCAACGAATAAAGAGCGGTCGAAGCCGACTCAAAGCGTGCAATCCCGGTCAACGGTCAACGGTCAACGATTGGTCATCTGTATACCGATGAGTGGTGGAGCGCTGTGGTGCATGAGCATGAGGCAGCTTTTATTTGGCAAATAAAAGCCGTCGTCACTGTAGACCCGAAGCGTGCAATTCCGGTCAACGGTCAACGGTCAGCAAAGAGTTTAAGTACAGTGACGACGGCGGACTCGGGCGGAGGGGCCTTAGATCGTTGGCGATTAGCTGGCTACGCGTAGCAGGCTATTAAAGTCGCGTGTGTGAAGGACACGTGTAGACCCGTCGGAGCACGGGGATATCAGTGTTTGGCGTGGAGAAAAAAAAAAGAAACAAGTAGAAATTTGCTTGATGAAAAAGAGTTATGTCTGAAAAGAAACCGTTCCATGAAAGTCTGTTTAGAGAGGGAAAACAAATTCTGCCTAGAATTGGTTGGAAGGGGGGGGGGGGGGGGGGGGAGGGGGGAGCCTGCTCGCATGTTGTCAGCTTTTGGATTGGATGTCGGGAAAAATAAAATAAAAAAATCAGTTACCCAAGAAAGGAGGAGCAGGCGAGGGACTCCCTCGGTAGGCCGGAGTACGGGCCTCGCTGCACTACTCTCGAGATGTACAAAACGAGAGTGAATCGTCCGCTAGAATATGGAAAGATACAGGCTATGTTTTTTGTGCTTTTGTGCATGTCGAGAGTAGTGCAGCGATGCTTTACTTCTGCATTCTTCTACTTTGCATTATCTCCAACTGAATATCTCACCCTTCTTTTCTTTTTCTTTTTCTTTCTCCTTCTTTCTGTTGATGTGACAGTTTGAGTTCCTTTTATAGGAAGAAAATTGAAAAGGGGGGGACTAGAGATGCATGTACTGGTCATTTTGTACTTGCAATTGCAATGGACGATTTTTCACTCGATTTCTGGATTTATGCATGTCATCCTTGAGCATGTACTTGGCCATTTTGTTCTTGTCTAGTTTTTGTGTATCGTTCCAATTTGAGCGGCGGATGACATTGTCCGGACAGTCACTCCTTTAGGATACCTGGGGGCCCGGCCTGGTCCGATTAGCAAAGAGGATTGGATTTAATTCCTGAATTTGTTTATGTTTGTGGAGAGATGCGGAAAATTGAGATTGATCAGCTTTTCTGTATCTGTGCGCCAAACACATCCACATTCCCGAATGGAATCTAATCCTTTTTGCTAATGCGACCAGGCCCCTGGATACGATTTTTGTCACTTTCTGCATCTGTGCGCCAAGCACATCCACATTCCCGAATGGTCTAATCCTTTTTGCTAATGGGACCTGCATCTGTGCGCCAAGCACATCCACATTCCCGAATGGTCTAATCCTTTTTGCTAATGGGACCAGGCCCCTGGATACGATTTTTGTCACCCTTCTAGGAACGTACGGGTCTGAAGAAAGCTTTCTGTATCTGTGCGCCAAACACAGCCACATTCCCGAACGGAATGTAATGCTCTTTGCTAGAAAAACTTCTAAGCCGTTCTTCCAAGTCGTGTGGCCCGTACGTTTCCTGTAGTCGTGGCTTGGGCACGAGCCGCACGACTTCAGGAAGTACTGGCTCACCCGTTGGAGTTTTAAGTTTGTCGACGAACTTTGGAGCCAAATGAGGTCCAAATGCATGCAGGAACTGGAAGGGGGTGTTCGAACTTCGTAGGCAAATGCGGTAAATGCATGCAGGAAGTGGTAAGGGTTGTAGAATATTAGGGGAGTTTTACCTTTAACGTTTAAAAACCACGTACTAGCTGCCAGTCACGCGGCCAGTGCCCTTCGTCTTGTTTTCGGCCTGGTTTTCTAACTTTCCCACCTTCAAGTTGGGCATGCAATGCGGATAGGAGAGATTGGGAGGTGGTATCGGTGGTGGTTCAAGCTTTGGGGAACTGGGGGATGGAGGTATGAAGGCCACCCATTTCTCTCTGCCAGTGGATGATTCTTCTGAATCTTCCTTCTCCCTTCCCCTCGGTGTCGGTAACGAAGCACGATCATTGAAAACCACGATAATGGAGGTCTTAGTCACACAATTGCGACAGCCCTTTGAAGTTTCTTCTTACAATTTGATGAAGCTCACTGCACAATCACGTCCAGAGGTTACCTTCCTTGAAGTTCCTTCTTCCCCGAGCACGACGTACGTCGGTCATTGTAGCTGTACTTGCTACTTAGGTCTCTCTCAGTCTAGATACAGCGACTACAATGAGCGTCCTATTAATGACCGTATGTTGTATTCGGGTATGAGGTTGTACCGTAGCTGCGGGTAGCAGTACCGTAGTACTGTATTATTAGTCAAAGCTCCTCGTGTGAGTATGCCCTGAGAGCTACTAGAGTCTAGAGGTAGAGGTGTTACCGTGTCCGGGGGTCTCTCTCCCAATTATCTTCCAGACTCCCATCAATTTGTATTAATTTCTAAGCAGTCATACTCAGTCAGTCAGTCAAGGGGAGGGAAGGGAGAAAAGTCAATGACTGAATGACTGCTTTTGAAGGGAGATAAGTCAATGACGAGAAAAGTCAATGACTGAATGATTGCTGCTTTTGTGGGAGAGAAGTCAAAATCAGTCAGTCAAGGGGAGTCAAGGGAGAAAAGTAAGTCTAGTCAAGGGGAGTCGAGAGAGAGAAGTCGAAATTAGTCAACGACTAGAAAAGTCAACGACTGAATGACTGCTGCTTTTGGGGAGAGTAGTCAGTCAAGGGAGAAAAGTCAAAGTCAGTCAGTCAAGGGGAGTCAAGGGAGATCAGTCAGTCCAGGGAGATAAGTCAAAAGTCAGTCAGTCAAGGGAAGTCAAGGGAGAGAAGCTGAAATTAGTCGATGACTGAATGACATGTTCGTTTGAATCGTTTCTGAATGTGCGAGTGTGAATCACTGAGTCGTGAGTGCACTGACTGAGCGGCATATTTAGAAATTTTTAAATGAATATATTGCCTTCTAAGTTCTTACCGTGGGTGTTGACAGTTATGAGGGAGTTGTGGAGGCAGTGGAGGGGGAGTATGAAGACTTCTATGAGGGGGAAGTGGATTGAAGGGTCCGAGTGGTTAAGGGGGGAAAAAACAGAGGAGTTCATACCCTGTAACCCTGATAAAAGGGATTGTCAATGAGAAGAGGAAATGAAAAATGTGATTGACCTGGGGACCTGGGGTCAGGGGGGTGGTCTATTCGACAATCGTATAATATGCTCACCCTCAACTTCGTCAAGAGTAAAGGCTGTGACTGTCAATCGGGCTCAATCCTTCATAGAAACAGAAACTATATGGGCTATATGTAAAGGCCATAGAAACAGAAACTATATGTAAAGGCCATAGAAGGTTTGGTCTATATTAGGGAGGGGTGACCACTGACCAGTCTTGTTCTGAGGTGAGTCTACTCTAGAAACTATATGGGCTATAGTGGACGAACGTCAAAATGGCTGCTGAACTAGATAATCATATCATCTCACTCTTTCTAAAGACCAACCTCAGAACATCACTGGTTCTGGGGTTGGTCTTTAGAAAGAGTGAGATGATATGATTATCTAGTTCAGCAGCCATTGTGAGGTTAGTCTACTATAGAATGGTTGACGCAGCCTTCAAGTTGTTCTTAGCTTGGTCTATAGAAGAGTGAGATTATATGATTATCGAATTTATCGAGTTGAGCAGCCCCAGGTTGCTCACACTGCCTCACAGTTAATTTTCATCTGACTCAGACTGACTGTCCTCGCAAAGTTTTTAAGGATATCGAGTATTATGAACTAACTCATGGCTGTATGTGTACCCGTAGTTGTACCCGTAGTTACATGGTTGAGTCATAGCTAGCACTATGGTTGGGGACTCGGGGTAGGGGACAAACGATTCTCACCTAGGGCACCCACAAAGAAAACCCAGGGGACATGGCCCCTGGTTTAAGTCCCACTTACCCTGATTCTTCATTTCTAGGGGCCTGGGGCCGAGTCCCACTTACCCTGATTCTTCATTTCTGGCCACTGATCATAATGATTGTAATCTGCGGTCAGAAGTTGAGAATTTGGGTACCAAGTGGGACTTGGTCCATGGAAGACCCACAAGAGGAGGCCCTGGGAAAGAACTAGATCTTTGAAGGGGCCATAAAAGTTAAAACTCTTCCGAAGCGGTAACCCCTTTAAAGATATAGTTCTTGCCCTGTTAAAGATCTAGTAGTTCTTTAGCCCTTTAACGATCTTAGACTAATTCTTTCCTGGGCCCTCCTCTTGTACCCTCCTCTTGTAGCTACCTACAAGAGGAGGGCCCGGGAAAGCACTAGATCTTGAAAGGGGTACTAACCATTTTTGAAGAATACCTTTTTGGCCACTTGAATGTGCGTTTGGCAGTCGTTACATTCTAAATTGGGGCTATATGCTGTATAATGCTGAGCTTATGTTTAGGCACGAGTTTGGACTCTTTTTTCGAGTCATGAAATTAATGAGAAGTTAAATTCAAATAAATGAATAAATATAGGGTAGCCTTCTATTCATTCAATCTGCCAACAATTAGGCGAGGCTACGAGTATCTGCCTGCATTAATAGAAAGGTAGTGATCGTCAGCACTTCAGAAGGAAAAACTTCGAAAAAAAAAAGGAGACCCGTTGCAATTGAAGTACCTCGAGGACGGAGTTCCCTGTTGTACTCTTAATACTCCCCTGGGCCATAATTCCTTGAATGTTTGCATTCCATGTCTCTCTCTCCTCCTACCCCCCCCTCCCCGCTCCCACTTTGTACTATTTGATTGTGGTATGGTTGAGAGATGGCATTATGACGGAGTTCCGATAGTGAGAGTCGTTGCAAGAAAATTTGAATAATCGAATTTAATGTGATGTTTGACCCACTACGGATCTTTGATGCTCAGTCTTGGCCCTTGGGATCCTCGGTTTATGTTCACATTGGTACTAATAACTACTATCATTAAGTACTACTAAATTCTATGTATCCTCGGGACCGAGGACCTCTGTCTCGGACTCTCAGGTTTTTTACAACAATGAATGAGTTTGTTCGGGCGACGGGCGTCATTTGCTTGAAATATTGGAAGCCAGGCGAAGCCAGCTGAGCGGAATAAGGGAGAACTGAAAATAAATCATAGCTGAATATTGTACAAGTGTCGAAAAACAAAACGTAAATGACACAGCGGTACTATACTAGTAGTCCTGGCATTCCCGATGTGACGTAGTTCCTCACTCCTATAAGATACCCAGTTTAACAAATGGCTGATTCTAAGAATATCAGGGGAAGGTGCAAAATGGATGTGACAGTGACGACAGTCCTGGTCCCTCCCAGATCATTCCTCAGTGCTGGTTCAAAATGGATGAATCTCAGGGAAGGTGCAGAATGGATGTGACAGTCCTTGTCCGTGCCTGATCATTCCTCAGGGCTGGTTCGAAATGGATCTCTTCCGGTCGCTTGCCAAACATTCCTGGTTCAATATCGAGCTTCTGGTCGCTTGTAGAACATTCCTGGTTCCATCATGCTCACTGTTAAAGGTGTAGAGTGCGACTTGGTGGTAAATAGAATTTGAATTTAAAGGTTGGACATTTGTACTGTGTGTCTTCAGATGATCCAGTGCTTGTGGAAAGACCGAAAGGGTAAGTGTGGTACTATGTGCACTTGCCAAAATTGTCGCAACGGGTAAGGGAAGTAGGAAATCGACCCAGGTTATGGTTAGTAGATTAAGTATTGTTTGTTTCCTGGGATGAGGCTGATTTCATTGAGCGCTAAGCCTTCCAAGTTGTAGGAAGATGGAAAGGAGCAGCGTGGTGTTTTCACTTGTCGAGGTGACTCCATTTTTCTAACCCTCTGAACTCCATTTCTAACCCTCTTTGCACCATTTCTAACCCTCTGAACACCATTTTTAACCCTCTGAACACCGCAAAACTCATAGCACACCACAAAACTCGTAGCACGTGCTATCGGGGTTAGAAAGGGTGTTCAAAGGATTAAGAATGGTGAAAAGGGGGTTAGAAATGGAGTTCAGAGGGGGGAAGAAATCATGGTGAAAAGATGGTTAGAAATGGCGAACAGATGATTAGAAATGGTGTTCAGAGGGTTGAAAATGGTGCTCAGAGGGTTAGACATGGTGTTCAGCATGCCACGTCTGGTTATTGCAGTCATGCCCGTCATTCACAGCTTAATTTCTTATTTTCCATTTCTAACCCTCTGAGCACCTCGAAACAAGAATTTGGGCAATGCCGCGTGGACTATCACTAGTGTGCAAAACATCCAATTTATCTGGCAGTGTTCAATTGTCGTTTCAGCTTCCGGAAGACGAATCGTCGGTTCGCATCAGTAGACAAAGATCAGCATAGGATAACGCTTTCAAATTGCGCAGTGACCATCAGCATCATGGTAGTGGAAGAATACTTATTTCGGCACAATCTATACATAAAAAAAAAAAAAAAAGACGTAGGCCGATAGGCGGATCGTAGGCCTGCAAGTGTAGTACACGGGGAAAATAGTTGAAAGACAATTCCAGATTCTTTTTGGTGGTTGTTCTTTCTTATTTGACTTAAAGCATGTTTTGTTTTTCCCCCATGTGCACTGTGCTCGAAGTGCAGCTGTGGTCCTCCGTTACAGTGTGTGCAGGGGGGGCAGGGAGAGAGAGAGTCTCAGAGAGGTGTGCATGGGGGAGATGAGAGAACAATATCACCATTATGAGCGGTGAGTCCAATAATACCACCTACAGGCAAATAGCGTAGTACATTTTTTGTGAATTTCTGCTATCTAAGGTAATTCCCAGAAATACAAAATCATTTCGGAATTTTTGAACACCTTGGTAACATAGGGGCAAGTGGTAGCCAATGCACTTCAGAATCTGTCAATGGGAACGAATTCGGACGTACAGGCCCTACAGGGTTCGCACAGGAGAAAGCGTACTGGGAAATTCTGCTGAAGGGCCTCTGGTGACACAACCGCCGTGAAGCATTCACCGCATGTATTTCCGGATATTTCAACAACTTCATGCATGGGTCTTTCGTAGACAAACTCTGACACCTGCCTGGTGCTGGAAGGGGAAAAGGAGAGAGAGAGAGAGAGAGAGAGAGAGAGAGAGAGAGAGAGAGAGAGAGAGAGAGAGAGGCTGGTGGGTCAGGGGGTTGCAGATCTCTGAACGGGGCACCGCAGGGGGATGAGGAGGGGCAACTGGGCCATCCAGGGCAGTTCCCACCATTTTAGATTCACAAGTTCATACTGGCTGTGGGACTAGAACCCACCTCCTGCACTACGGCTTAAGAAAAGGAAAAAAAATCCCGGCTGTGAAAAGGGGTTGCACGCGAAGCAGCTTCCTTACCAAAAAAAGAAGAGAAAAAAAGAAAAAAAAGGGGTTGTCTGTGCGTTCTCTCTGTGTGCTACATGCATACTGTTCATTGTGTATGAAGGGATGCACAGATCAGGACTCCTCAGCTACCTAGCTCGCTCTTGGAGGGAGCAGTCTCCTGCACACAGGAGGTTAGACAGATGCGGCAGTCTGCAGATAACCATTCCGTCAAAAGGATATAGGGTAACAGTTGGCGTCACCGCGATGGACTCCTTAAGGAGGGGGAAGAGGGGTGGGGGGGGCATCAGGATTCCTAGGTTTGCAATTGCTTTGATCTCCCATCATCTTCCCACTCCGTAGGTGGTTTTCCCACACCTAAGGCAATACCTTTGCTTCAGCACAACCGTCCTGCCTTCAGCTCTCCTTTCCCCCTACTCTCTCCACCCAGACTCTCCATTTCCGCTGCTCCCTGGGTCGTTGGCTTCTCCAGGGATCGCCTCACCTTCAAGTTGCCTTGGGGGCTGACGTAACCAGTGTCCTCTCACCCAGGTTTGACTTCATACCTACTCTCTTCTCTCTCTCTCTCTCTCTCTCTCTCTCTCTCTCTCTCTCTCTCTCTCTCTCTCTCTCTCTCTCTCTCCATACACATACAC